CAGAATCAAGCTTCTCAATAACGTTGCTGGGCTCACTCTCAATAAAGAGACGTTTAGAGAACTGGAGGGATTTCAAAACAAATCCACTGCTCATTCAAATTCAGAGGAGCCAGCTGATGTGATTCCAGCATCTCATAAGGACGCCGCTTAGTTGGTTCCCAAGGGCACCGTCTCACAGAACTTGGACCCAGACCAGACAGGAACACCAGGGGCAGTTTATCTCCCAACTGGCTTGGAAACAAATTAAGAGGCAATTTCAGTATTTGCAAAAAATCATTAATCATTCATTTAGTAAAGATCATGTTGACCAATTATGTATAGATTGCAAGTAGTGCAGCCAATTTTAGACAAAGGCCGATTTTGCAAAAGATAGAAAATGGTTCAGTGTGTGTATATAAAACAAAGGCATGAACGGTACTTTGTTTATTGAAGAGCAGTTGTCATTTTTAAAATACACACTCAATGTAAGCTGAGAGGTAACAAACACCTCGAAAAAAAATCCTATCCCAACATTTAATATCTGATATCGAATTTCTTTTATTACTAATGAGAAAAATGTCTAACACTATAAATGAAGGCTAGCACACCAGAACATACTGCATTACATAATAAAGAGGACCAATGACAGACTTTGCAGGACAATATAGAGGACTCCATTATCTACTCAGTCTACTTATGCGAGAGACTATGAACCTTTAGAAACAAAGGGCAGGAATTTAACAGCTTCATTAACAATAATTGACAGTTAGCATGCAATGTTCAGTGATCATCATCATCCTTTTCAGAAATTCTGCGAAAATTCTTCCGATTGACCTTCCGACTGATGTTAAAACCTACAGCAAGCGAGTGGTGCTGCTCTGGATCTCTCTCAGCATTTTCAGACTCCCTCTTCCTCTTCCTCTTCCCTTCCACGGAGCCTGGATGGACACACTCTTCCTCTGTCGGTAGGTCTTCCAGATGGCACAGGCCCACTGCCTTCTTCATCTCCTCTCCACATTTGCGCCCCGGCTGTCTCTCACTCGTCTGACCGGGCCGAGAAAATACTATTTTGCCTTCAGAACTACTGGAGTGCTCCTGGTTGAATGCCAGAGAAAAGGGTTTCTGGGCATCGCCTCCCAGGGGCCCCTGCCTCTGCTTCCGTAGACTCTGGATGTACTCCTGTGCTACTTGGCTGTTCCTGCTGTTGCTCGTCTCAGGCACATCCTCCAGGCTGTACTTGGTCCAGCGTTCTGGATGGGCCACATAGTCAGGCACGCCCTTGGACGATGGAAGCACTGGGGCTTGCTTGTTGGACAACACGCCACCTTTCTCTCCATCCTTCTTTGGAGGTGGGAGTATAGGCCGTACGAAGGGTCCATCGATGATGTTGTCCTCCCCCAAGCCTGGGGTGGCTATCTTAGCGGCACTCTCTAGGCAGTCAAAGATGCTGTGGCTACGGGCTGAGAAACCGACGCCGGCCCCCTTCAGCTGGAAGAGCGGCTCCTGGAGACTGGAATCTGTATGTTCTTTGGGGTCGTCCCCATCTGAAGAATCTTCACCAGAAGACAGATCTTCAACTTCAGCATCAAACGGGATGGTTGGGTCTTCGGGATCAGAGTCACTCAGGGAGACCGAGTCAGAAGGCTCAGCAATGGAATCTCTGTTGGAAAGTTTAGCAGGAGCGCCATCCTCATGATCTTCACGGTCGCACATGGTCTATGGGTCAGTGTCTGTTGTAACAGCTGAAGACAGGGACTTCCACACATCCAATGAATTCACAGCCTGATAGAGCATGATTCAGGGAGAATGAATATTGTTTCACTAATTAGATTGCATATACACACAATTACATCAATGCACATGAAATTGTTATATCAATTTACAAGCATTCAATGTAAACCAACCAATAAGATGATAAGCTCCAGTATGAAAGAAGCCACTGTTAAACAGTTGTAAACATCAAAACTCCATTTTCAAGCAAGACAACTAACATTTAATGCACCAAAAAGTTCCTAAATGGAATTCCCTCATATCATGTCTGGGGAAAGCCAGCTACTCACATTAGTCTGGGACTGGACTAATTTCCCAGTCTCTGGATCGGTGAGGATTACCAGTGTCTGCAGCTCCTTTACACTGGTGAAGAATAAAAAAGGTATGCATTACTGTGCCAAAGCAAAGATTTCTATTCAGGCAACAATCTCATTCTGAGCAGCACAACTCAACGATTTGTTAATTTAAGGAAATTCTGGACATCATTTCCCCCTTTGTTTACAGGTTTCAAAATGAGCGGACATCCTAAAATAAATCACTACTCAAACAGGCTGGCTGTGAAGATACAGCCATTGCATCTGGTATCATGGCACAAGTTAGAATTAGAGATGCACCAATTGCAATTGTACTAAGCTAGATTAAGATCAGGCTTTTTCATACCTTCATACTGGAAGGACTTCATAGCGCAGGTGGTTAAAGTTTCACTAAAACATTTTTACTCTATCATAGGAAGAAAACCTTAGTTAGCTTTGCAATTTTTAATGATTATTCCTTTTCAAGGTTAATATAGGTTTAATAATCAGTTTAAAGTTGACCACCGACGTTTCACCGTGTTTTCGTGGTGGTTCCTCCATAGTTTACTTCGGCTTTACATGTATTACAAATTGCAGTCTTTGTCGTCTTCACTCATAGTGAAAAACTTCCACACTAACATGTTAGCGCTGAATGTGAGTAACTCTACTAGCTGCATCGCTGTCCGTATGACGTGTGGTGCATGCGTAAAACAGACTTGTTCGGTGTCAGAAATACATTAGCCTGACTGGCCAGTCTGCAGTCTGGGCCGAGCATGCGGAAAAGCAGCCGATTCCTGTCCCTGGCCGGTCGATTGGTGCATCTCTAGTTAGAATTCATGTAGCCAGAGTTTAGATATATCCAGTTTAAATCCCAACTGTTATACCACTTACTCATCATTCTGATGAATACTATATATATCCCCAGCCTACATCAGGGATTAAAGAGTTATACTTTAATAAGAACTGAGGTTGCATGCATTTTACGGTATTCATACTGTACAAGGGCGCTTGCAAATGTGTTTGAAAACGAGCATATTATATATGTATAACAATACATATGACACTCCCTATCCGAGTCATTTTAAACGAGTTCTGCAAACTGCAGACAGCGTGATGTGGGTGTGTAAGGAGACTATCTTACTGGAAATGAAGACTCACAGGTTCTGGGAGCTGGTGAGGATACCGCACAGCTCAGTAAAAATGGCAGATCTATGACAGTAGATTTGTGCTTCAGCCTCTTCCATCGTGTTGTGCACGCCCTCTGATCAACCTTATTAACCGCTACCTGGGGACACATACAAATTAAGAGCACCGAGTTATTATAGCAATCTTTACCAGTAACACTCATTGCAAAACATAGTTGGTATGTATAACAGAACGGCCAGTTTCCTTAACAGTAATGCAACATACGTTACAATTTTAATTAGCAGGCCTATATATGACACCGAGGACTAACGGGCTCCTCTATTCGCGACTTAATCAACATAAATATTTGTCATAAAAACAGTATGACGCATAATGATAATTATTACACAGAAACACCAGCTGAATATTACATCTAATTGTAAGTACGCCACAGCAAACGTCGTAAAAGTATGCTCACGAACTCTTCCGCGTCTTCCATCTTACCTTCTTTCCCGCTGATGTAGTAGCCGTGTGTGATGCATCATGGGTAATGTATTTCAAATTACAACTATAACACGCTCCCTTAACATGGTATAAATACGTCTTGGTTCGTAGGCCTGTATTTTTTTGTTGCATGGCATTCGACCACATAAAATATCCGCAATATTTTGTCACATTAACTCAAAGGTTAAATACATCGAAATGAAAACACCCACACCGAGTGGTTTTATTGTACATACGTGCACTGTATCATTAGCGTAAGTATCGAAGTAGGCGATGATTGACAGCCAACACTAATTTAATGTATCTAATTTAACGTAAATAGGCCTATCAGGCTACAGCGAAAAGAATTTTAAATTCCACAAAATAGCAAAAATACTGATATAATAGGTCTAATGCCATTAGCAAAAGAAAGCACTTCTTGCCACGATTTTTGGTGTCGCAAAATTCTAACAGCAACTGTGGTGTCGCCCACCTTATTAATAGTTATTATTGTTTTATTCCCTTGAAAAACCACGGGCATTTTTGTTGCATCAAAAAATGGCTTTATTAACCAACATTGGATACAATGTGACAAACATTGGATATGTTCTTCAAAAAGATTAATAACGATTAAGGAACAAGATGTGCACTCCAAAGTCTGAAAATCAAAAAACCATGGAGCAAAATTACATTAACATGTTAATTTAATAGCCAGTAGTCAGTGTTATGCTGATATGGTGAGACAGATTGAGAACTTCTCTGAGATTTGTGCCCCATATATACACTTCTCTATAAACATTTCACTCTGCTTATGGGCTTGTTAGTCCCAATCCAAATTACTGATTCGTACATCAGTTCCTTTATATAAAATCACGACACTAACGACAATTCATTAACGTCTACAGAATTTTCATTGGCAGGTGGAAATAATATCTCACAGAAGAAATGCCTTTTAGAATTTAAGGGCCGTAATACCGTAAGCTGAGGTACAAGAGTTTACCAAGTCTCATTAGGCACCTTCCTGAACAAGGTAAATTTAGTAAAATGGCAGCTAAGATAGTGTGTAAAGCAAGGTGGAAGACAGATCATTTTTGCTTGTAACCACAAAGACTGCTTTCTTAAGATGCCTTTAGCTCTGTATCTTTATCCCAATTCAATTTTCAATTGGTTAATCGATGATGAAAATTTCAGGAGTGATTTCTAGTTGAGAAACTGAAAACACAGATGAGCTGCTCACTATGTCCGATAAAAATGTCATCATACAAGACACCAGCTTTCCAGCTGATTACGATGCTTTTCGCATATAAGTACAGATCCCAATAAACAAGACCTGGTATCATTGTGTCTTAAAGAGATGAACTCTACTGCAAAACCTACTATAACATTTGTATTGACTGTTAGTTTTAAATTCGATGCTGCGCCTACGTCACTCCGCGGTACGTCCTTGTAGTCCGGGCTGTGCATTTTTATGGTGGTGTGGGCGCGACGGGGTGTATCGCAGCTGCAAGATCTGAAAACGGTCGCGGGCTCGCGACGCCAAATAACGGGAACCGGATCCTCGCGTCCTTAAAATCCATACGTTCAAGGCATAATGAACGGACTTCAAGAAAATACCGTTTTAATTGAAATGGAGAATGCGGTAGATTCACATGATGGAGGTAAGCTGACATGTTCCGTGTCGGAGTTTTGGTGATTTTGCCACCAAAATGTTTTTTTATTGTTATTTAACTGTGATTATGGAGAGTTTAAAAATGTTTTTTTTTTTTTTTTGGTATTACAAAATTGTGACAGTATTATAAGAAGTTATTTTTGTGGTATTACTAAAACAAAATATTGAACTTTCGACATGTGTTGACTTATTTTAGTCACAAAACATTATTTCAAACATAGTTGTGCTTATAAAACATTATTTAAATGTGCCTATGCATTTCCGACGCCACGATGTGATTTTCCTGTCAACAAGTAGCTTAGAGCTCAGTAATGAGTAAATGACGAAGTATTTTAGCTGGTCTTAGATCAAGTACATCCGTCCAAGGAAATATTGCAAAGGGTAATTTGGAGCAAAGGCAGTGACTCGTGTAGACATACACATGTTTTGTGCTCTTTTCAAGGATTATACGTTACTGCGGTATGACTTGTTGGTACTGGCGTCGATCATTTACCACTACCTCTGTTCGGGATAAACATGCCGCGAACGGCTTCCCCTTAACTTCATTATCACCACCTTTTAAACGCATCGCTGTCGTCGTGGTCTAGATTCCTTACCGAATGAGTCTTGCTCTCTGTGCATGCCGAGGACGGCCTCCCAGTCAATGCTACCATTGATATGAAGCCTGCTCCTCTTTGTCTACTGGGGACAAAAAAGCACATGTTTAAATGTGCACCATTTGTTTATTATTATTTCTTAATCGAAACTCAGAGTTGCCTTCTACGTACACTGGTTTGTTTACTGGAATAATTCGAGTTATTTACTTTGATCGAGGACGCTGGGGTTTCAGCTTACAAATTTTGGGTTATGTGGGCGTAGCGTTGTACCACAACTGTATTCACAGCTAATTCTAACTGGATTCGGTATACATTTTTATCTATATTGCCTAACAGTTCATTGCATCATTGATTTAGTATAAATTTCTCTGGTCTGTTTTTGCATCTTTATTAAATTGTCCTAAAAATTGTCCATTTAATACAACTGACTTTCTATAGTTGACTGTTATTTAGGTGTTGTACAAGCTGTGCTTTTAACAGTGTAATAAAATCACTTCATATAAAAGACCACAGGCACAGATGTACTGTACCATAGATTGGTTTTTGTCTGAACAGTCTTTTGCATGAAGAAGGTCCCTGGCTGACTAAGTACTTTTTACTTTGTGGTGTATCAACCAAAACCTTATTAACAGTCATTAACAGGAGGTGTTCAAACACATACAGCCCATATTTGTCTAATCATAAGTTTTACAACTATTTTTTTATTTTTTATTTATTTTTGCTGATTTACCACAGTTTAGACCCCCAAGATGATATGTTAGCTTCCAGTCCACAGGATGACTTTGCATTTGTGGATTAAATGCAGTATTAAGCTCATTGCATCCTGCTCTGGAGCACAAAATGGGTTCAGGGACAGCTGGGAAGGATAAATATAGGCAACACATTTCAGGTGACGGGTGTGACAGTGCTGTGCTGGTGATGACACCAGGCCAGTGAGACATGTGATTGGTCTGCTGTGGAGGGGCATGACACCTGAAACACTGTAGCCTAGGCGCTGATTGTCTTACACATACATGGGCGACACTTTCATTTCGCTGTTAGAGGAACAATCAGTAGAAAAATTTCTCAAGAGCAATTTCTGAGGGGGGCACCAAAGATGATGTCAAAGGTACTGTTGTACTTTTGTTAAATGTATATAGAGGAGACCCTTATTACTATTATAGTACATAATTGACAGGTAAATAACTAAAGGTTAGCATGTTCAGATGTTTTAATTATACATTATAAAGTCATTACTTTCATTCTTGAAGATTTTATAAAATTGCCTTTTTTACTGGGGATTTTTTTATTATTAGTTTTGGTACACTGAAAAATGATCATATGTCTCTTTTTTCCTTTTTTACATTTTGGCTGGCTGATAAAACACACACAGCATGTGGGTTATTTACACTAGGATAGAAGCAACACCCCCTAAATAGCTAATAAAGCTAAAGATTCACCCCCCAGGGTAACAGAATGAACAAGATGCAATCTGGTTACAAAAGTAAATGTGTGTTTTTCTACTGAGTGGTAGAAATAAAGAAACACGTTTGACACATTTGCTGTTTTAAGTGAATGTTTGGAAAGTAGCTACTTACTGTACTAATGGTCAGCCGCCACTGTGCCATGGACACTCGTACTGGACTAATGTGTGTGGTAATAGGATCGGGGATAGCAGGCAGTGGACCAAACCACTGTGAGGGACAGGAGGGAACAAAGTTTTGCAAAACTTAAAAATGCATTGTTTTGCATTTTATAATTTACACACTTGCTTTCAATACATATTATTCTGTCAAATTACATAGTTACAGTAGGTTTACAGTAACGTGTGTGTATGTGTATATATATGTGTGTGTATACACACACACACACACACACACACATGTATATATATTATGGGTGGGGGCAGTCCTCGTGAAGTGTGAGTCCTGATCCCCCTTTCTCCACCTCGGGATTTATGCTTATGCTTACACATCTGTACTGTATGTGGCAGGGATCAGACAGATAACAGTTCTGAACATCTACAGTTCATATCAGTTTACCCACCTCTCCTCCATGACCAACCATGTTCAAGCACCAACTTGAACTAGATATTATCCTTTATTAAGGCAAATGCTAACAAAAGTTATTTTTTGTTGCATGACGCAGACAAATTTGTTGGTACCCTTCCACAAAAAACACAACTATCTCTGAAATAACTGGAAACTAACAAGTGATCTCGGTACTTCACAATGAGATGGCTACACTTACCAACAGGTAGTTTGGCCCACTCTTCCTGAGCAAACTGCTAAAGTTGTCTCAGGTTTGAAGGGTAGTGGCTCCACACTGCAATTTTCAGACCTTTCCATGTTCGATAGGAGTAAGATCTGGGCTCATGCAGGGCCATTAAAGAATAATCCAATGTTTTTTTTTTGTTTTTTTTCTCAGCCATTCTTAAGTGCTTTTAGCTGTATGTTCTGTATGTTCTGCAACAATATCCTGTTGCAGGACCCTTGACCTGCGACTCAGCTTTCTGTCACTAGGCAGTATGTTTTGCTCCAGGATGCCTTGGTAGTCTTGAGACTTCATTATGCCCTGCACAGTTTAAGGTTCCCTGTGCCAGATGCAGTAAAGCAGCCCCAAAACAAAACCGAGCTCCTCCCTGTTTCACAGTAGGTATGGTGTTCTTTTCTTTTAAAGCTTCATTTTTTCTTTCTGTAATCATAGAGCTGATGTGACTGGCCAAAAAGCTCCAGTTTTGTCTCATGAGTCCAAAGGACATTTTCCGAGAAACTTTGTGGCTTGTCAACATGCATTTTGGGGAATTATGTGTTTCTGTCACTAGTAGACCCCTCCTGGGTCTTATTCCATGGAGCCCATTATTGTTCAAAATGCAACAGATGTTGTTTTCAGAAAATGACGTACCTTGACCTTTGAGCTCAGCTTGAATGGTTTTTGATAGTTTCCTTAGCTGCACTATCCTTCTGATCAACCTGGTGTTGCATTTCCTCTTGTGTTCACATCCTGGGCGGCTGGCTATAGTCCTATGGTCACAGGAACATGAAGCTGCGTGAATATAGTCTTATAGCCTTTACCTTTAACGTGGTTATGTATAATCTTTCTTAGCTCCTCTGACAGCTCTCCTTTGCTTCCTTTGATCCATGTTCAGTATGATACCAAACAACACAATAGCATGTTCTTTCCCTTTAAATACACTGAATGACTTTTGAAAAGCTTGAAGGCACCTGTTTTGCCAATTAAGGTTAAATGCTTAGACGCAAGGATATATTTCCTCTTTTGGGGTACCAACAAATCTGTCCATACTATTTTAGCATATTTTTGTGAAATAAACAATAAATCTTTTTTTTTTTTCACAATTTTATTGGTTTACTCTATCACATACTAGTCATGCAGGTATACAATAGACAATTGTTTTTAATTGAATCACTTTTCAGGAGAAATGAAGCATGTAATGAGTTGTACCCAATGTAATGAGCTGTAAGGGTACCAACAAACTTGCCCATGTCTGTATGTATAAAATTAATCATTAAATGAATGGCAGGGTTCCCAGGCCTGTATTCTTATCATTCAGTGAACATATATCTTTGTAGGTGTTATTTTTCACTGTCTGCTAACTTAAATGCATTTGATGAGATTTTAACAAAATTTCACCTAAGTGAGGAGCTGTCAACACGGGTTCAGTGAACGCAAACAGTGTGCTGTTTTCCTTCTGGCTGATCCGGTTTGTGTCATGATTCTGTTATAGCCATTTGATGCCGTTCATGCAGTTTTAATTAAAGCAGATGAAGAGGTACTTCGTCCAACAAATGAAGCAGCACGACTAAAAAATGCAAGTAAACTTGTATTGACAGTTTTAAAGTTGTTACCAGGCTTGGGTGGTATTACAGTAATGTACTGCGTTATTTTGAAATCTTGGCAACAAAATTAGCTGGACACCCCCCCCAATCAGTGAATTCACGAAGATTTCAAGCATTGCTTTTGAATGTACTGTCAAAATACATCAAATGGATCTTGGCTTCTATGCCACTTTGTCTGTACACCCTGTAAAATTTTCATTACAACTGTGACTTAAAAAATTCCACTTGATGTTTTTCAAATAAAACATTTGCACTTTAAACCCTGTGTGTTTGCCTAGCTGATTAGTTGGTTGCTGGATCACATGATTAATTATCAAAGTAATTGTTTTTGCAGCCCTGCTTACAGCAGCAGGTCTGTATGTATGTCGCAATTCAATTCTACAATAATGTTTGCTCAAATGACAGTTGTATTGTTCATCTAATATTTTTTGGAATACTGTTTAACTGTAAGTAGTGTTAATGTTATAAGTATTGTGAGTATACCAACCATTGGACAAAATTTTTTTCAATGCCTTGCTTGAATTACTTATATTACAGTATTTTGCAGGATGTTCTAACAGTTACTACTGCTGAATAAAGTTTTTGGAACGTTAGTCTGTGCAGAGTAGTACTGTATGTCTGAGAAATGTACTGAAAATTAGAGCTTCACAAAGAACATGCAGTTTAGGTGTCCATTCGCAGGCAGACGTTGTAATCAGTGGTATTGCACTGTTGAAAGCCCAGAGATTTTTTTTCATATGAAATGGCAGGACAGCATGGCTCTCACTTCCCCATTCACATACATTTAGTGTGTTTGGTTTGTTTGAACTCCTTGTACTTTCTTCTCTACGTACAGCAAGCAGCGGTTCATTTGGTTCATTTGTGGTGTGAACTGTGATCCGACTTCAGTCCGACCCAACTACCAGGTGTATTCTGAGAGTTTGTGCTAAAGACTCCCGTAGGCCGGTGTGCTTTGCAGAAATGAACCGAGGTCTTACTTGGTCTAGCTGTGCGATATGTTGGCTTCTTGAAATGTGGGCAGATGACTACGTCTGTCAGCTTCTAAAAACAACTCCTAAAAACTGAAGTTTTCAAAATGTTCAATCAATGGCTGGAGGAGAGGGAAAAACAGTACAAGTTTACAAACTCCCTAAGAATACATGTTATATGTTGTCTTCTCACTCCTAATTGAGCTGCAAGTGAGAGTTCAAACACCTCTCCTAAAATAGTCACGTTCAGCTATATATCCCTTCCAGCATGGCTTTGAGATGTTTCTAATATCTCTTTTCTGCTTTAGCACTACATAATTAAATTTTTTGGTCCTGTTTTGTTTAATGTTGTATATTATTGTCTGATGCTTCTTGTTGATGAGCCTAATCTGGTCCCCCAACCTGCTTTATATGTAGCATGGCATTAAATAGTGTCTAGGCCAAACACAGGAGCAGGTGTTGTAGCCATCTCAGGTCACCGACTCAAATCCCACCCCTGGGGAAGCTTCCTATAACATCATTTGTATATCTGCCGCGCAGAGTCGATTAGGAAATTAGATGATCTTTTCTAAAGGATGTGACTGAGTGAACATGCCTGAAACCTATCCTTGACTTCCCTTTGTGGTATGTACAGAAGTGCAGAGAGGCATCCTTTATGGCATTTGTTACAACAGCCAAGATATTATTCCCGCTCCTGGTAATGACAGTTATTTGATGCTTTGAATTCCCTTTTATTACTATATTACTATATATTTTCAGTAGTATTTTCAGTATTTTTCCACCACACTAGTTATGTAATCACAAAACTTTCACTACCATCCTGTATGGTTGTTCCTCACTCCCCAGTAATGTTTGAAGGGAATATCAAACTACAAACTTTCAGATTTTATAATGGCTGGATTATAAGCTATGGTCACTCTTTTTTGTTAAATGCGCCCACCATAAAAAATGGTTTTGCAATCAAGCAGAACTTCTGCTTGGTTGTCATGGTGTATCTGCTTGGAAACAGCTCTTTTCCTGATTTCTGCAGTGTGCTGTAGTAGACTCTATACTACTAATCAATTACTTTAGCTTAATAATATGATTGTGCATCACCTTACTTATATCACTGGACACAAACTGTTAATGGTAGCTCGTTCAGTAGCTTGTTGTGTCAAACACTACAAACAATACAAAGCTAAGGAGGGTGGCTCTGTACAAGGAGGGACCACTGCACAGTATTGTGCACATAAATGAGAAGTATATTACATCATATAGTACATAACAGTGCATACAGTATGGATTTTCATTTATCTTCTGATTAAGCTGGGGGGGGGGCTTTAGGTTTATGGCTGAAATGTCGTAATATTTTTGGTTAAAATCACAATCCATGATATACAGTACCAGTCAAAAGTTGATACGCCAGATGTCCCATCCCATGATATTGACTCATTATAGAAAAAGTACATTTTAATTTTATTAAATCCTGAAGTTTCAAAAGTTGAGTACAAATGAACATTTATCACCTCAGTCAATAACTGTGCACTTAAGAACAATACTCAGTCAATATGAACAAATAACAACAGGGCTGGGTATTGACACAGACGGACGGACACTGACAGGATTCATGGTGTTCATGTGTTTCTTTTAATGACAGCAGTCAATATAACAAGTGAACTAAACATCAGAACATTTTTTTTTATGACCGTTAACCACAAAGTGTGCAGCTTTTGTCACTGCGATGTATCTTTCTGGGCTTGTGGAAGAACATTTCTAGAGCATCTTGATATGGGAAGTCAGAAACATCTGGCCCATTTATTGAGATCCGCATGCAGGCTGCAAGATGGTCTCCTTGCAACCTATTGCGGATGTTTGTCTTGACCTGCAAATACATTAACTGTTAGGCTTTAAAAGTGATAGTTTAAAGCAGACAATTCCATTGCGAAACGTATTTATAATTTAAAAAACCGCAGATATTTATGTCTACTTTTCAGGCGGTTGACGCGACATATTTTTCGACGCGCGCTCTCTATCCGCTGGTGGGAGTGTGCTCACCTGTGTGTGCGCGCACGTATTTGTGCGCGCGCGCATCGGGGCGGAACTCCGCCATGCGCGATATAGAGAGCAGAGGAGAATTAGAGGAGATCGTGTAGAGACAAAAATGACAAGCTGTTATGTAAATACGATAAATAACATAAGGCTATTTAGTTTGTTTAATAAAATGACAATGTATAGACGTGTTCTATAGGAAAGGTAACCTTAAATGACTTCTATTGTGATCTGGCGCTATATAGAAAATAAAATTAAATAAAATTTAACTTGACCTTCAAGGGGGGGGCGGGAGGTGCCGTTGGTGGGGCTGGGGACAGTGGCATGTAGCCAAGTATTTAAAACAATACTGTGCTTAAAATACAAACAGGGTTCACATCCCCAATAGCCACGAGCTTAAAAATATATGTAATGTAGTTCAGTAACTTGTTAGACGGGTCGCTGGGGTAAACCAAATGTTTTTAATAACAAAATAAACCACAAAATCATTTATGGCAGTGCAAAACTTTCACAGTAGAAGTATTTTTTTTATCCATAGCCTAAAAGTCACACTTTTGAAATAAGCTTATGATCTGTTAATATTTCGTGACTGTCAGGATTTAAACCATGTTTATAAATGTAGTACAAATGGTTCAAGAAAAATATGCATTTTATTTTGGGTATGTCCTCTTGTTTTTTTTTTTTAAAATGGGGGGGGGGGCTTCTATCCGGTCTGGAAGTATTATATCCCTAGGACCTACAGTACTGTAGAAAAATGGGCACTATTATGTTTTCAGCATTTTGGTTTCGAATTGATACTGAAGTATCGGTTCTCGTGGCATCTGTATTCATATGTGTACAGATGTTTGTCTGTGTCTCTCATGGAGATCGGGTATGTGAAAATTACCCAACTTCCCTAAATAAGTAATGTGCCTTCATTATGTTCTGTTTCTTTCTATTGTATTCTGTTGTGTGCTACGTTGCGCACAAATGCTACAATGCTGGAGAGGTTTGCATGAAGTGAAGTGATAAGTGATACGTTTCTGACGTGTTTGTGGACGTGTTTGTGGACGTGTTTGTTTGTTTGACGGGTTTATCCAAGTTTGACGGTTACTGGTATATGCACTTAATGAAAACCTGCCTGATTTCTGTTCAGTTTGCATGGCCAGTCTCTTTTCCAACCCTATCTGTCTCCATCTGGTAGAAGACAACAGTGCAATGAGCCTGACACTGACGTCAAACAGAGAGCCTCGATCAACAGGAAACTCCGATGTAAGACCTACTGCATTTCCTTATTTAATGTGAGCCTCGTGCTCATTTTGTTCAAATGTTAAATATAACATTCTCTCATTATTAGTAATTTAACGGATGCGTGAAACAACTTGTCTGTTTAAATAAACTGCCTTTAAATATAGCTTATATTAAAGCTGCTTTATGAGAATAGAGTTATATGTTGGCTTCATTGCAAGAATTGAGCTGAATACTGGCTTAGAGGCTGCTGAATTTAAATTTAAGGAATTTGTAGCCCATTGTGCACAGGATAGTGGGCGCAAGCCTGTGTCCTGCACAAAACTGTTACAAACTTGACCAATCAGCAGCTCAGATCTATGCAGTTGCATAACATGCAGCATTTGCTAACAACCAATCCCTGCACAGAGTGGAAATGAGACTGAATCTGTCCGTCTTCTGCCTTTGCTGTCTGAGGTAGGTTGTCACAGGAACCACAAATTTTCTGTCTGTCTGTGGGTCCACGTGTGTACATTTATATCCTCCTTTGTCTCTGTCTGTTTATACCAATTAAGTTGTGTGGGCTTATGGTTTTGATTTATCTTAATAATTAATGTTGGATAATTGTCTAAGAACTATTATTTGTTGTCTATAAAAAGGCATTCTCTATTGTGAGTACTGTAAATAGCCTTTGGAAGTTAAACCTCCCCCAAATCATCACAGGTACACAGTGGAATCCATTTAAGCTGCCTGATTCCCTGGTGTTCATTTATCTGCGGTTAATGAGATTCTCTGTATAACAGCATCATATTACACCATGAGCTGTATTAAGTCGATCTTCAATACCACAGTAGTGTAATACTGGAGCTAAAGTCTCCATGTATGAAGGCATTAGCAGGAATAAAAATAACAAATATACTGAAACTTCATCAATCCTCAATGGGAAACAATACTCATATATGTTGAATTAAACTGAGCTGTGAGACTTGTTTTCAGTGAGACTTGTTTTCAGTGAGACTTGTTTTCAGCTGCTTTCGTTCCTGTTTGAGCAGACTCTGCTAGTGCACGTCAGGAAGATGTGCAGCTGTAAACCACTGATGCGCAAGACACGTGTTGCTTCACCCTTGTGGTTCTGTTAGACTAGCAGCATGAGGCTTCATTGCGAGCTCATGTTCTGTAGCATACAAGACCCCCCTTCTTGCTGTCTCTCAGTCTCTACGCTGTAGTGTTTCAGTTGTGCTCCATGTTCCTTGCTTGGTCCAAGGGTCTGTGGGTGTGTATGCGGCTACATAATATTGGTTCTTCAATACCACAGTGTTGGCTCTGATTCCTTTTTTTCTTTCTGCATGTTTGTCTGTTCCAGCTGCTTTTGAGTTTCGTTGGTTTGGATTTTTATTTGCATTAAAACTGGAAGTAAGATAACAACATGTTTGTGTGTGAATTCTCCTGCTGGTTGGTTTTTCTTCATGCAGACTGAAACAGAAAGGCAGACCCAAGACTCCATCTTCTTCCGAGATGGCATACGTAGAATTGACTTTGTCTTGTCCCATGTGAAGGACCGCAGCGAGGATGGGAACAGGAAACTGGTGAGACTTTCACATCTACCACCGCTACATCAACAGACTATAAATTGGTACAGGAGCATATTTTGCCAAACTGGTGCGAAATGGTGTGCCTGGCCATATACAGTAAATAAAAATGACTGATTTTCAATTGCATTTCTGATATAACCGGTCATTCATCCATCCATGATTATTAAATGCTTATTAAATGTCCTGGGAATTATAGAGGGTAAGGTGAAGCACATCCTGAGTGGGTTGCCAGTCCATTACGACACACACTTTCACAGGCATTAAGACCAACTCACCGGTGTACCAATCTTGTCTGTGTCTGCTATCTCTCTGTGCTGTTCTATAGAGGCATCTTAAGTGTTTTTAATTGGCTAAATCTTGAAAAGTTGGGTGTGACCTTGACTTATGGTGTCTTTCACTTTCATGGTCTCACTATTTTAGAATACATAGTGGCATAGTCATGTGACCCTGTGACTCATCCCCCATTGGTTCATCAAATACTGCGAGGGCAGAAATTTTGTGGGTTTTTTTTTCTTGTTCACAGGTACTTCCTCTTTTGGTTCTCGTGTTACACATTTTTCTGAATTCTGCTTTTCTTGGCAGAAAGAGGGGACTGTCCCCTGGGTGTGTCACAACACAGAAACATTTCTGTCACTTCAGCTTTGGGTGGAGAAGGCATCTGTTGACTGCAGAGGCTAACCTTACGACTATAAAGTGGTGCTTTGCTCACAGAATTATATTCATATATAATTGCAAGGAGCTATTAAAGTTGTAAAGAGTTGCATAATTGTGGGTATAATGCTAGAATGGAGACAGGAATTTACAATGCATGTTAGTTACGAGGTTCAATAGGATACTTAAACTCTGGTGCTGGGGGACCCTGATGCTAGAAGCCTCTTCAAGCATCTACATTGGACTGTTACAAATCTGATCTACATATTGTACCTTAATGTATTTTCCTGTATAAAACATCCATCCATCTTCTGAACTATTATCCTGAGCAGGATCATACCAGACAACCAGACAGCATAGGGCACAAGGCTAGGGAACACTCCGGACAGGAACAAAGGTGGGATTCAAACCTTCGACCCTGGAAATGTGAGGCAACACTACAGCCCACTCTGTCAGGGCTGTGTGACAGTTGTACAAATTATGTATTCAACCTGGGTATCAGTGCAAGTTGTATTGTTTGGTTTTTGTACCTGTTGACTAGTAATAGTCACTTTATTGAGTGTTTAAGTACTACATATGTAGTGGTGCAGTACTGTTTCTACACGTAGCTTAAGAAAGGCTGTAAAATATACTTAGGAAAAGTTGTGTGCAAAACATCTCAAATATAATAAAAGAATGAGCCTACCTCACAGCTTTAAATGAAATTAGTTACGATGCCTCTTTGAAGGTGCTGGTCAGTGTTATAACCTTATGGAACTCATATGTGTGTCTCTAGGATTGGAGGAGGAAGTTCGAGGCCAATTTGATGGAAGAAGGACTGGAGCTGGAGAAAGAGGAATCTGTATGATGAAACATGTAACATTTTTGTTAGATTAGTGTACTTTTGAATGTATTTTTCAACTCAACCTAACTCAATCTGTCTGTACATTAAGGGTTTTTTGAGGCAAGAAATCAATAAATATTCACTTGTTACTTTACCATTATGAGTATTGCTAAAAACAAATTGGGATTAATATTATAGCTTCCTATGAACCAACAGAACATGTAGAGCAGGGGTTCTAGCCTGGTTACTGCAACTGGTTTAGCTTCAGAACCCAAATTACAGCCTACACTAGTTTAGAAATACTTTGAGGATGTATATAGGGTATTCAAATTCAAAATAACTTTATTTGACCCCGAGGGGCAATTATAGGCACACAGGGCAGTTGAACAAGGACACAATGACATAAAGTGCAACAGTATTCGGAAGATGCTGTATGATATATGATGGAAAACTGTTTGCATTAGATACCTGTACAGTTATGCAAGAATGCTAAGCATCAGAGAAGTATAATTCATTCATGAGTAATTCACCTTTGATCTTCCCAGCCTGATAATGAAAGAAAAGTCTTCTTTGTGAAGATCCATGCCCCCTGGAATGTTTTAACCAAGTATGCTGACAAGCTGAAGGTCAAGGTGCCCTTTGATGTCAGTGACACCCCCAGCCCCAAAGACACCACCTTTGAGTGGCTTGTCAAGCCCTTCCGTTTGCCACATGATGTCATGGAGCCCCAGCCTGATTATTTTACTGCCACTTTTGACAAGGAGAAGACTGACTTCTTCATCAACTCGAAGGAGAAGACCTCCTTCACCCCATCCACTCGCAACAGGATCGTGAGTTTCTGTTCTCCCCTTGCACTGCATTCAGATATGCACTCCCAATATGATGAAGTTACTTTTAAATGTATTTCAATGGCTTTTGTGGACTCTGACTTAGAATAACTAAATATTCCATGTATTCTCAGACCTGAAGTCTACATTTAAATTTTGATTGTTTAAATGCCTATTACCAAGCCAGGTGGTGATTTAGTTAGTCCTAATCACAGTGTAACCGATTGTTCTGATATCATTGACTGACTCTGTCCTGCACAGGTTTACTACATCTTGTCACACTGCTCATACTCAGTGGAGAAGGAAATGAAGGGCATTAAGCGGTTGCTAAGCAACGGCACCTACACTGCTGCATTCCCGCTTCATGACGTAAGGGTCTCCCCATTAGCTATCTGCTAGCCAAGACTTTGTCTGCTCGAAAGCTGCACCACTGGTGTGCCACTGGTTTTATGGCTTTTCTGTGCAAATAGAGGGTGCTGGAAATGATCACGAGTCAGATTTGCTGCAAGGTTCTATCTGAATTTGTTGTATTGCAGCATAATTGATACCTAGGAAGGCTTGGTCGGGCTCATTATCTGAATGTATAGATTGATTAATCAGACTTGTATATATCAGTCATCTTCTGCCTGAATAAATATCACTTGTACGAAAGTAAAAGAGTATGCTTCATTGTAGCCAAAGTAAATGCAAATATCAGTTCTGATAAGGTGATGCATCCAGAGCCCATTGAGCCCACATTTCTGTCAGCTGGGCAATGTTGGGGAGATGTGGGCACTGGAAGAAAAAGGCCACAAATGATTTATAATTCTCCAAACAGTGCCAATACTGGCTGAAAATGGAAGAGAGTGAGAATGAGAGGTACAGCCTGTACCAGAACTGGGCTCGGTTCCTCGCCTTCTACAAGGAGCAGCCTCTCAACCTCATCAGGTAAAGAACTTCCATCAATGGAGATAATTAGTAACCATATATCAACTGTATACTGTACAATATAATGTAATGACATTCCATCGGCAAGCATGCTATTAACACAGTGTTTCCCAGTCTGGTCCTTGACCCACAGACGGTCCATGTTTTTGCTCCTCGGCAGCTCAGAGGGAGCGAAAATGTTGACTGACTGTGGATCCCTGTGGACCAGATTGGGAAACACTATATTACCATACTGGGCATATAATGGAAATTATGTGTTTGTTGGTAATAACAGGAAGTACTATGGAGAAAAAATCGGCCTCTACTTTGCCTGGTTGGGCTTCTACACAGAGATGCTGATGTATGCTGCGGTGATTGGCCTCCTCTGCTTCCTCTATGGCATCTTTACCTACCACCAGAATGTATGGAGGTATGAACTGCACAGATGGGCCATTCTTCTCAGAAATACTCAGTACTTTCTTACTGTTCATAACAATGATTCTTCATGGTCTCTGGGCACTTGGGTAACTGGTGAGCATTTGGAAATTAAGCCAGTGTTCTGGGGAAAAGGCATTTAAAGCAGAATCGGGGAGGATATGAGGAGCCAAGAAACTTAGCACTATGTTTTGCTGACCTTTGTTTTCTTTGAATGATGCTCAGAAGGAGAACAAATTGTCATAATTGTAGTACAATTAGCTTTTTAGGATTCACAAAGCTAACCAATATGCTGTGTGAACCCACACAGGAATCATGTACATCAGTGTTTTCCAACCCAGTCCTCAGAGACCCCCAGGCAGTTTACATTTTGTCTCCCTCCCAGCTGCCAGCCAGTCAAGATCATTGAATACCAAGTACCTGGTACCTGGAGTTGGGACGGAGTAAAATGTGGACTGTCTGTGGGTCCCCAAGGACTGGCTTGAGAAACACTGATTTACACCATTTTGTGGAAGTTCACATAAAACAACTAAAAAATTTGCCTTTCTTAATTTCAATATGTACTCAGAAATCTACATTACGGTTTATAAAATAGGCCCATTAAATGTGGGATGGTTCTCCATAGTTCACCTCTTGTTTATTGGTTCTTTGCTTGGTAAGTGTTTTCTGTAACCACTTGCAGTAAGGAGATCTGTGACCCAGAGATTGGAGGCTCCATAATAATGTGCCCACTGTGTGATGAATTATGTGGCTACTGGAAGCTCAACTCTACCTGCAGCTCCTCTTGGGTGAGGGATCCGCTTCAGAATACTTTGCTGGTTAACAGGTGGTGGTCTGGAAGTATTATTTAAATCTCTATCACTTCTCATGCATTTTTTAAAATAAATTTTGCTGCATGGTTATTATGGTTAGAAAACCAATGGTTTGTTCCCATGTGCCTCAGTGTTTTGTTTATGATTTAAGTGTTTCTTCTGTACTCTGCTCTGGACTTTACCTGTCTCTTCTTTTTAAGCAATCACACGTGTTTGACAACGCTGGAACTGTGTTCTTTGCTATATTCATGGGCATTTGGGGTAAGATACTGATTTTATTGTCAGCCATGCATTAATTTCAAAAGACAGTATGCGACAGTTATATTTCTGGTACAGATTTAGGCTGGAGGGTCTAACACAGGGGACCTCCACCTGAACCTTGAGAGCTACTGGTATTTATCTGACAACACGTGTGGCTCATCAGAAGCCAGGTAGAATAGAAAACCTACTAGACAGTAGCAATCCAGGCCTGGAGCTGGAAACCCCTGGTCTAACATTATAATAGATTATATGAACATAAGGCTTTTCAATTTCCTTATTCATTTGGATATTTAATATATATATAGTATTGGTTAGTTGTGACTTTTAGGGTTACATGACAACTAGAATTTATAGGTCCTCATACCTTTGTTACTCATGCATAGCAAAGATTGTGGAAGCCTGTGTGTGACCCGGTGGCTCTCTGGCACAGTGACCCTCTACCTGGAGTTCTGGAAGCGCCGGCAGGCCAGGCTAGCCTATGAATGGGACCTGGTGGACTTTGAAGAGGAGCAGCAGTTGCTCCAGCTCCGTCCTGAATATGAGACCAAATGCACCAAGATGCGAACGAACTACATCACTATGGTACTGCTACTCAGATGTTACTCTGGGGAGGGTAACACTTACTGTACAACATCTCTCAAGAAGTCTAAGCATGCCTGTAGATTGGAGGGTCATGCCTACTGGGTTGCATCGCCCAGGTGCTGATCCCCAGTTTGTAGTCTGAAAAATTTGATGAGTCATGCAGTTTGGAAAGTACTGACTACTTAATTGTTAACATGATAACACTTAAAAAGGAACAGTGTAGTGACACACAAATATGAGGAAATGTATCAAGTTAAAAAAAAATCTTTTTTATAGTTAAGTTTCTTTGAAAGGCAACTTCAAATTTATTGCAGTTACAGTATTTCACACTGGGATTTTTCACAACTGGGAATTTTTCCAGAACCGAATGCTTAGAGTTACCGAGCTAGAAAAAATATAGCATCTTTAAGTTGTGACCAGCTTGTGTTTGTGTTGTAGGAGATGGAGCCCTACCTTCCCCTAACCAAAAAATGCACTCTCACCTTCCTGTCATCAGCTACTGTGCTCTTCTGGGTGAGTATATCTCTATCCTTCGCTCGCCTCACTTATCATCTGTGGCTATACGTACTACATATGTTATTTTGTTTATTGCTGATCGTCTGCTCATTAGCTTGTTCATTCTCCACTCCAGATTGCCCTAATCATCGTCTGTGTCATTGGAGTGATTGCTTACCGGCTGGCAGCATATGCCGCCTTCGCCAGCATCATGGATAACGGAGAAACCAAAAACCTGCAGTTTGTGGGCCCCTTCCTAACCCCACAGCTGGCCACCTCTATCACCGCCTCCTGCATCAACTTCGTCATCATCATGATCCTCAACGTGTTGTATGAGCGTGTGGCTATCTGCATTACTGACAGAGGTGAGGGGACAGCAGGTCCTATTCATCTCTCTGTTCTTACTCAGGAAGGCACAAATAATAATTTATCTTCCAGTTACATGTCCAGTACAAAAGCAGTAACAACAAATAAAAATACTACTATTATTATTATCTATAATAATAATAATAATGTTCATTACATGTTTAAGCACAGCAGCAATGCATGCCTTCAATTCCTTCATTGCATTTCCACAGAGATACCAAAGACTCATCTGGAATATGAAAACAGACTGACGATGAAGATGTTCCTTTTCCAGTTTGTGAACTTTTACTCCTCCTGCTTTTACGTGGCTTTCTTCAAGGGGAAGTTTGTGGGCTACCCCGGAAACTACACCTACATGTTTGGCAGCTTAGTCGGGCTGAGGAATGAAGAGGTAGAGCCACATTCTTATTTCATCGTCCTGATTCATTGGCTTAATGCAGAAGAAATCTATCATTCAAATGCAATATCAGTTTGGAAACAACTGTTAAATATGACATGCCTGAATAAAGCTCCATAATTTAAAGTAATATATAGAACCAATATATTGCTTATTAAGTACAAGATTGTAGGCGTTTATTTTTAATGGTTACCTGTCCCCCCCCCAATGTACAGTGTGGGCCAGGAGGGTGCCTAACAGAACTCACTACCCAGCTGGTTATCATCATGGGGGGCAAGCAGCTATGGGGCAACATACAGGAGGTTCTAGTGCCGTGAGTAACAGTGCTGAGTCCCGCATCCAAGCTACTAATCACCTGCTAATACTTTACTTAAGGCCATGTTTTTAGTCATTTATAAACACATTCATAACAAATAATAATGCATTCATAAAGCGTTATAAACATGGCTATAAATATTTATCAAAAGGCATAGCACATTATAGCATGCATGTTTATTATGCATTTTGAATGCTTGAACAAGAGGTTTCCTATGAATGCTGTTACGTGAGAATAACCAGCCTGCAGCCTTGGACCTACGACCAAATCACAGCCGTGATGTACTAGAGTACAAGCTCACTCCTTCTCGCATGTTATTGCTTAATTATGAAGCTCTCAGGCATATCTGCAAAGGGGCTTATGTAATTCAGATGTTATTCAGCAGAAATATTTAGGGGGCTTCATTTCTGCCTGTGATGCTTGACATCAGCCACCACACAGCTCCTGTTTATTTGATTCTGATTTATTAATCACACTGAATTTGCTGTGACACTGGGAGCTGCTTCATGTCCCCAGGTGGTTACGGAACATGTGGGGCAGCTGGAGGACACGCAGCTCTGGGAAAGCATGTCAGCGGTGGGAGCAGGACCATGACCTGCAGGAGCTCGGCCAGCTAGGCCTCTTCTATGAGTACCTGGAGATGGGTGAGCCATGTTTTCCAAGCTCCAGAACATCAGCATCCTGAGTAAGGCTAGGCGATACATCTGTAAAATGATTAGGGATGGGCCGATCCACATTTTTTCAGTTCCGATCCGATTCCGACACACAACTGTCGATACCGACACAGATTCCGATACAAGAGCTCTTTTTACTTTGTTATACTTTATATATTAATTTTTTTAAGCTAGTAAATACAGATGGAAAAAATGTATGACAAAAAATATTTAATTAGGCTACTACAAACATACATAACGTACTGTTCCACCTTGTTTGTATGTCTTTTTTTAAGTGTTTTTGGGGAATTTGCAGTTCAATATGAATATCTTCAAAGCGAATGCTTAAAATTTTAACACATTTTTTCTCCCATTGGCGACAGCTGTTACTTTTTGTTGCGATCGCAGCTCCTCTTGTATCACAAGCTGCAGCGAGTTCACAAAACAGTCCAAGTTAGCGACTCCCAAATCATCCATTGCTTGCGTGCGCTTTAAGTGGGATTGTCCATTAAACGCTATTCCCACCCCTCAAAACTTTATTTTACAAAGATTGCAAATCGCTGTGCTACTGGTTTCTGTTAAAAGCGTAAAATACTCCCAGATCGTCACGTCTTATCTTACGCTCCTCGTACTGCGAAGGGTATGCGCATGACGTCACAGCAGGCGGAAGTCACTGTACTCACACCCACTGAGTATCAAAAATAACTGAGGGGCAGCGTTAGCGTTCCATTTGAATGCCGCAAAAAGATACATTTAAAATGGGAATGATTGTACAAAAGGCTCCAATTTCGTGTTAAATCTATCATTTATCAAGAAGTAAGTATATATTTCGGAATATATCGGATCGGTGCATCTCTAAAAATAATATTATTGTGATTATAAACATTCATATTGTCATCAATTTGATTATCGTATCGTGATATAGCCTAAACATATGCTGTATATAGCCTTGCATAATTAACAGTTATAATGTTCTTTATGTGTGTGTGTGTGTGTGTGTGTGTGTGTGTGTGTGTGTGTGTGATTTATCTCTCTCCCTTGCGGTCGCAGTGATCCAGTTTGGCTTTGTCACGCTCTTCGTGGCTTCCTTCCCACTGGCGCCCCTGCTGGCGCTCCTCAACAACATCGTGGAGGTCCGTGTAGATGCCTGGAAGTTCACCACGCAGCTGCGCAGACCCATGGCTGCCAAAGCGCACAGCATCGGCGCCTGGGAGGAGATCCTTAACGTTGTGGCAGTCCTGTCTGTTGTCACTAATGTGAGTGTTTGTGTGATTGGGAGTGTTTTTTATTCCTGTCTATTCTTCCTAGTAGTGTAGGCTTGATTGTGTGCTATTGGACATTAATAATTTGCAGGTGCTTAACTTTCCTGTAAGGAATCACTTACAGGAACTATTAAATTATCCCTTTTCCCATGTGCTTTATCCATAAATCTTGAATAAGAATGAATTTTATTCCAGTACAAGGAATTTGTTTTGGCGTAATTGGTCATATTAAAGTAAAATAAACATCACATTCATGTAGGATTATAAGCTGTTTAGACATTGAACACTCAGTGTCAAATGCACCTTTTAAGCAAAAAAGTAATCTCATACTAAATTTATCAATTAATTAGGTTTAATTGAATCAGAAACCTGAGTACTGAGTAAGATCTGGAAGTACAAACCATGTGAAACCAGTCTGGGCTGAATTTAGTCTATTTTTTTTGTTATGCATGTCCTTTTATGACTTTGGCAAGCGTTTCTCCCAGTTCCACCCTGGTGATGAACATAGCAGTGTCATGTGTGCCTGACGGTGACCACTTTACTATCCGTGTTCTCGTGGATGCCTGTGTTCTCAGTTGACCATGACTGCATTTGTGGTGCATGGATTCCCTTCAGGACACTGACTTGCATTTGCTCAGGCATTCATCATGGCTTTCACCTCGGACATGATCCCACGCCTGGTGTTTTACTATGCTTCCCACCCCGGTAACAAAGTCGGCATGGAAGGCTACATCAACAACAGCCTGTCTTTCTTCAACATCAGCGACTTCCTTGAGAAAAGCAAACCTAAGTCTGTCGTCAATCCAGAATGGTTCACCAGCAATATCACCTTCTGCAGGTCAGTTCCTTTCTAAGAGGAATTGATATAAATCTGTAACAGAGACAACATTCACACGATTATGGTCAAGAAGCATTTTAATTTCTTTTCTACTTCAGAAATTTGTTTCTATCTTACAATGATGACTTTTCAACAAAGCTAAGTGATACTATACTCAGTAAGGGTCTACAGACGGTTCACACCTACTGTATGTATGACATAAAGGGCCATGTCTGAATTTGAAGATGATTTACTGCAGGTACCGCGATTACCGCTACCCACCAGACCATGAGAGCAAGTACTCCCATTCACTGCAGTTCTGGCACATTCTAGCTGCCAAGCTGGCTTTCATCATCATTATGGAGGTAAGGCTCTTGCTCTGTCATTTTTCCACTGTCTGTTAAACCACATTTATGAATGGTTTTTATTATTTGGATTTTATGCTGTGAAATTACCCGTGTAAATAATCAAACCGTTACATTACACTTATCTAATGATTTTGTTTTTATTGGGCTTTAAACTTTCAATAGTAAGGTTGTATTTTCGTTATTGTTAAGGATTTTTTTAGACAAAGTTATCTGGGCCCATTGACCTGTGAGTCAACTACAGGAGTACTGTATTTTGGAGTGACCGATTATTTATGGACCCATTAGCCTCGCTTCCACCAACAATGTGCCGGTGCTGTACTTTTTCCCAATCCGGCATTGGTTCCATGTGTTTCCACCTCAAAAAATGGCCCTGGGCCAGAAAAAAAACCGCTCCAGCATGGCACCACGGAAAAGCTGGGCTCAGAATTTGGCACCTTAACGCCAGCAAACGTGGGACGGACTATCGTGTCCAAACCTTCCTCATTTTGTGAGGAGTATAATATGTTGCAGGTTGAATAAATAAAATATTGTGGTGTTCCGAGTGGCAAAGAGATTATGAGGGGGACTGCAAATTCAGTTTTTAGCAGACTGTTTTATTGCGCGATCACTAAATGGACAGCGGTAAAAGAGTGTGCGAGAGTAAACTCACCTATACACAGACGGGGAGACAAGTGGATACAGGCAATAGAGACAGGGCGCAACCAGTCATACTCTGGTTCAGCAAAATAAACCCCAAAAAATGAAATACAGATTAACCTTCACTTTACTTTTGCCACCATCTATGTAACATTTCTGTAACGTACTGTTGTGAACCTGGTGGAAAGGTGGGCAGGTTCTCAAATGGCACCAAAAGTGAGAACCAACGCATCATTGGCACCAGCACCTGCTCCGGGTTGGTGGAAAGGAGGGATTTGTGTCTTTTATGGACTGCAAATTGTGACTGACTAAATCGCTCCCCCTACCCAGCATGTGGTGTTCACTGTGAAGTTCTTCGTGGCCTGGATAATTCCGGATGTACCCAGTGAAGTCAAGATGCGAATTAAACGGGAGCGCTACCTCATCCAGAAGAAACTGCAGAACTATGAGCTAGAGAAACTGAAACAGTTCAGCAAAGCCAGCACCTCCAACCAGGCCCAGACTCCTGGGGGGCAGAGCAGCCTTGATCTGTCCACCATGACCCTCGAAGACATTGAGGGCAGTGAATGCAAACTGCCTGTCAATCCTTGTGATCCCGCAAATGAGAAAGAACTGCAAACCTTCTTGTAATTCCCAGCAAGGCCATCCACTGACTAATGACTTACCAGCTCCAGTGCACTTACTTGAAATTGATGGGTGCTGGGGTCTGGGTAAGACAGCAGAGCAGCCTGTAACCGATCTGATAGTACACCATTAAGAGGTGACTGTCACGTTCAAGCAGGTCGTTTTTAGGCAGCAGTCATGATGACTTTGTGGTAGTCATCCTTGATTTGGGCAGTAGGGGTAAGTTTGGTGAGATTTCCTGATAAGTCGAGAAACCATTCTGAGGTGAAAAGCCATAAAAAAGCCTAAACTCACGCACTGCTCATGCTGTTACTCCTCTTACATGGGCATTTGCAGGTGCGTCAAAGATTTGGGAGCATGCTTACTTTTGTAATAACTGGAATGCAAAATGATAACATTTAAAAACTGTGCATATCTTATTTTTCTGTTTTTCTGAATATTGACATTCTGTTCAATCCTCATGTTTTATGTCAGTCACTAAACTGAAGTTTAGTTTAAATTTTTGCCTTTTAAATATTTTTGTCCCAAGTGATATACGTCTAATTTATAGGTTTTCCTGATATTTGTATATAATTTATACAGGTGGATATTAAGTCCTATAAATGAATTCAGAATCTCTTCTGTATGTATGTAGAAAGCAAGGTGACAGCCTTAGTGAGGGGGGACTGACAAGTCATAGCCTTACCTTTTATATTCACTCAGACGATGGCAGTCAGACTTGTCCTGTTCAAAGTGTACTTTATTAAACAAGTATGTGTTTTATTATTTGAACAAGTCTTTCAGGGCTCTTAATACTGTGGTATTTTTATTCCATGTGGTAGATTAGTACATTCAAATGTAAATTAAACTGCGCATGTAAAAAGCATGGTACAGTCCTGTTTAAAGGATAATTGTTATGGAAGAGTCAACCATTGCAACTGATAGTTTGCCCAAGAGAAGATAGCTCTCCACAAAGAATCATAATCAGTTAATCATCAACAGTTTTCTTTGGGCTTAAGCTTTAAAGGAGCAACTATGCAATTTAAAATAAGGCAAATGTTGATTTTAGGTATATAATGTATTAAGTATATAGATGAAATGAGTATTTAAGTAAATTGGACATAGAGTATAACTGAATAAGCAGGAAAACTGAATGTTGAGTAGAAATGGTACTGAGATTTTACTTTTTTAAACTTTGTCTTGAATTTCTTTGATGCGTTTGCATTTTTTATGCTGTTCAGCAATTCCAGGATATTTTTAAACTTCATGGTGCAATACAAAATTATGCTAATACTACAGATGGTGTAAATGTAATTTATAATGCAATTCACCTTAGTATCACCTGGTAAGCATTAAACAACTCACTGCCTAATTTAGGAATTTACCAGGAACAAAAACCATCACATACACAGCCCTTCTGTATGTAAATGTTACCCCTGTCCCTTACAACCGAATAGTATATATGTACATCTCCAAAAGTCAGATTGTACTGGGAAGCATGGTTTGCTTTAACCCAATGTTAAACACCTAGTTTGTGTAACACACCAAGATGCATCAAAAGGTATAATGTACTGCGGCCAATGTTATGTGCCTAATTAACTAAATGATTAATTGAAAAGCCTGACAAATTAAATGACTGTTAAACATTCAGTTTGAAAAATGTTCTTTTCCATGGATCTAACAGTGGTGAACTGAAAAAGAATCCAAGAAACCTACAAATAAAAAGTACACATACCTGCAATAGTTCATCTTCATATTTTGTGTTGCATGCAAAAACTAAACCGTGCTTACCGACCACACCAGGAGGGGGAGCTATAGAGCCTCCTTACAAAGCTGGTTAGGAAAATGCAATGTCCCAGCCATAACTGGACAGATGGTCAAAATTAAACCGTGATCTATATTTTATCTGGTTTTAGAAAAATAGGGTTATGGGTCTGTTTCCCACCACTACCTTCTCCCCGTGTTTTTTTCCCCCCACAGTTTGTGGGGTCTCTGAATGGCCTAAACAATGGCCAATTAACTTTATTCTGCTACATTTCAGTTAAGCAACCTACTGGGTATTAAATATGCAGAACAAGTTGGTGGTTGAAATGTGAAGCTTGTAAGTTAATCTGCATATAAAATGACATGAGGTCATATTTACTCAACAGTACATTTTGTAAGGCGATTTTTAAAATTAATTTGGCTCACCTAAGACATTTAATTTAGAAACAAATTTCCTTTCAATATAGTTACCTCTGCTCTGCATTTTCCCCAGCATTTCCATGTTTGGCTAGGGGAGCACTGACTTTTTTGAGCTGTGGTAAATGGACACAGGTGCCTTGTGACAGAACAGCATCACACCTAAGTCAGGAAGTGAACACAGCTGTTTCCACTTGGCTGAACTGCTGAAATACTGAACAGATCCTGCAGAGGGGGAATAGCCATTTTTATATAGACAAAAAGCTTTCACTTCTCTTCCATCCATGTATCTTCTAACCACTTATCCTGGTCAGAGTCACCTGGAGCCAATCCCAGGTAGCAAACTGTGGTTCACCCTGGATGGGATGCCAGAATGCACACACTATAGGCAAATTAGAGATGCTAATTTGCCTAATATATGTAAACTCCAGAGTGGAAATGTGAGGTGACAGTACTAACAGGTGAACCGCCATGCAGGCCAGTATTTTCAAACAATTCTCTTTTAAAGCAAGTAGGCTAAATGTTACTCTGAACCAAATGTCTTTGCCAATTTTGTTTGCTTCTTCAACAATAGCAAATAAATTCAGTCTCAGAGACAAAATCCAAGGACAACAGGATGAATTTTATATCAAATCTTATTTACTGGTGACTGACCAACTCCTCCAACAAATCCAAACCATCCCAATCCCTCCCCTAGTGAAGAAAACCCAGAGTCCCAACTTCCAAAGTGGAGGCCCATGTTGTCTTGATAGGGCCACCAGTGGAACGTGCACCTCCGATTCATCCCCGTCTGCATTATGAGCACCTGTTACAGGAAATCACAAAGGAAACGGATGAAATTCAGACAGTACTTACAACAGCAGTACTGGGCAAGCAGATGGACACCCGAAATACCTGGTATCTTTGCTTGCAGCAATATGCAATTGATAGTGGTTTATCAGAAATTACTCCTAACTTTCCAAGTTGTATTTCTCCCCCCTACAATATTTCTAATCCAGATTCATGGGGTCTTAATTCACCACGGCTGGGGCCCATTTAGCAATATTATTCATCTACAAGCCTAGTTCACTAAGCAATACTACAAAAAAAACAGAACATGGGAAGGCAGTTGGCAGGGGTAACTGAACAAGTCATCCAACTGCACATATTCTGCAAAATAATTGGGGGGAAAAAACAAGAACGGTATTAGGTCTCTAAACAATGAAAACATGCCTGGTTTGCAAAAAGACAAACCAATTTAAGGTTAAATGGCACTCTTGTCCTGAATCAACGTCGACTGACTTTACATGTAAGAATAATAGTGCTTTGGTTTAAATCTTCAGTCTCAACATGTCATGTTGTGACGTCTTAAAGCAAACATCACCACGCTTGTGTGTTGCTCACCCTCATACGTAGATGCCAACCCACAGCAGCAGGAAGAGAACCCCAAAGCCCATGAAGAGCGAGGCCACCAGGGAGATGAGGAGCTCCTTGTAGACGTCCCGTGTGTACTTTGTGGAGGTTACTTCATAGCTGGGGCAGAATGGTTAAGTGCCACTAGAAATCCCATCTACTAAAATTTATGATGCAGCTTTGACCTGGTCTACTACTGTCCCTGCTGTTGCAACATGCCCCTCAGTTGCTGTCCTAGTTCCAGATAGAACCACATCCAAATGATTGGTAAACTAATAGATGCTTCTGGTTATCTACTTTGATATACTTACCCTTGCTCGTATGCCTCTTTGCATCTCTCATATCCACTTGATTATTCTTAAACCTTTCTCATGTTCAGGTTTTACCACAGCTTGAGAATATTGCTCATTTCTCATAACAACCCAACCCAAAGCTGAGCCTTGTACCCTCAGCATGCATTACAAGACACCGCATTAGCCAACGCCAGCGAGCATCCAGAAGGATACACGAAAAACCAGGCTGTGAAGAACATTCCGATGGCCAGCAGAACAACCGTGAGGTGTGGAAACACTGCCGGATTCACCGGGCTGGTGTATCGCGTCATGGCCTCCAGCTCCTGCACAGAACAACAGTTATTAGAAACTTATTAATAACTATATTATACATTATATATTATTAATGTCTCTATATCCAGACATTATTTAATTTCACATGTGCAGGAATTAAGTATAACATCTTGCAAACCTAAAATTAAAATATTGATTCAAGAACCTACAAGGCAGCCAGTCAATGAATGAATGAACTGAATAAGCCAAATCGCAAAAACGAAGCTAACATAATAGAAGTACATTACATAATAAAATAGGTAACTACCAAAATATTACTTAAACTTCCAAATGAATTTGACCATGGACCACTCAAGTTTTCTAAATAAACTGATGTTGTGATAACGAGGCCTTTGGCTTTAACAAGCTTATTTGATTAAAATGTCTAAAATAATTCTAAAAATATTTGAAATAAGATATGCATTTCGAATAAACATCTCATTACTGGCATCATATAGCTTTTCAATCGTCATGTCATTAAACAGGATATAAATGTGCGAAAATAGCAGCCTGGCCTTGCAGCGAAGCACCATGCAATTGGCCGCCTACAAGCCAGCAAACTTTAAGTGTTTCGCGTTGATACTTTTTTATTAGGTATATTGTCACCCAAATCAGTTGGGAGAAAAAGCAACGGCAATGCTAACTAGAAACCTTGCTCTGTGCGAGACGTGTCAGAGAAGATGCCGCGACGTCTAGTTGCTAAAAAACTGTTACCTCTCCATGCTATTTATATGCTGCTATAAACTAAACGCATTTAGGAAAAGTAAATACATCTCTTACAATGCGTTTGACACTGATTCTAATTAAATTAATCCCAAACTCACCATTGTGCAGCGTAGGCCAAGCACTGAGCTAGTTCACAGTGTCAGGGAAAGCCACGTATGTTCGGAAGTCGCGTGTCGTAACGCTGTTACTACGCATTGAATTGTGGGAGCTGTAGTTCTTCGTTTAGTCGCCCATATTTGCGTAAGGCTCCACCTGAAAGTTAACGCTCCTGAAGTCTTCGTGATGTGTGGTTCTGTTCTATCATCCTACAACTTTATTATTTATGAGATTCAACATTACTTAAGTGCATTTGACAATATACGTGTATTCGGTGATATTGTGCAATTACAAGAAATGTAATACTTGGGATCAACAGTTCAGAATAACGAGGAATGTGGAAGAGAGGTGAAGAAGAGTGCGGGCAGGGTGGAGTGGGTGGAGAAGAGTGACGGGAGTGATTTATGACAGCGAAACAGGATATCAAACAAGGTTATCAGGATGGTAGTGAGACGGTGGCAGTGACGAAGAGACAGGAGGCAGAGCTGGAGGTGGCAGTCAAGGTGTTAAGATTTGTGTTGGGAGTGACGAGGTCGTACAGGATTAGGAATGAGTATATTAGAGGGACGGCTCAGGTTGGACGGTTTGGAGACAAAGCTAGAGACCGCGTTGGTTTTGACATGTACAGAGGAGAGATGCTGAGGAGAGAGCTGCCAGGCAAGAGCAAAAGAGGAAGGCCTAAGAGGAGGTTTATGGATGCAGCGAGACATGCAAGGGGGTGGGTGTGAAAGAGGAAGATGCAGGAAGAAATGCAAACCGATGGCGACCCCTAGCGAGAGCAGCCGAAAGCGGAAGCTCTGAATTTGGAAGCTGGTGGGATATAGATGGTATTTGAGTACTTTTCACCAATAATTTTAATTCGGTTTCAGCATTTCTCGGTGTCAGTTACATAATTGACGTAATTGACCAATCTTCTATTGCACTCGAGCTTTTTTCGCGACCTATGGTTACTTTCTTTTTGAGGTTGTTGAAATTGTTTATATAAAAACATATATATATATATCAAATGTAATGCTTTTAAGACTCATTTTATTACACCTGATATAACATGATGGTCATTGTTTTTACTGCGTAAAGTGAAATTCATAATGGCCATTAAATTAACTAACGTTTTTATTTAAACGTATGTCTTTCTTTTTTGTAGGGTTTCTGTGATTTCATACTGTTCATTTGATCTAAACATAGGACAGGTTATGTAATTATTCTATAAAAATTCGATAAAAATTTCAAACAGAATTCTAGGATTCTCTGAGACTTAACTATATTTTACAGTACATTTCGTCCGGTCACTAGATGTCGCCGTTGTCATTCGTCTAACATAATTATTTACTGTGAGTAGTAAGACGGCGTGTAGTGAAGCGCACGTGGAAATACATGTGAAAATACTGTGAGCAGCTGAGCACTATAATAATATATAAGTTGAGAGAGAATTAAAAAACGGCTGTTTTCTAAGATCCGTCCATCCATTTTTCATACCCGCTTGTCCTATTAATATTGCATTAGGTGTAATACAAGCTTCATTCTCAAGTTGAAAATCAACATTTATTCCTGTGGCCTGAATGGATTCATGAAAATTCTTATTGGGCTGACATTAATGTCGAAACACACAGTGGAGACTTCTGTCAAACAGTCCAATCTTAAAAATGTTAAAATATTGTTAAATAGTCCTTCCTTAGTACCAATATAGTGGTAATAAACCACAATTTCTTTTCTTCTTTTTTTTTTTTTTTGCAACCTACATGCAACTTTACACACAGTATAAAAAGTGGCCTTTTCTTTCTGTCCATCCATATGTAGGTGCCTTTAGGTTTTTCTCCCAAGGGGTACAAACTGAGAGAACCTAACTTGTCATCCATTCAGGTAAATAAATTTGCAAAAAAAATAAATAAACAAAATTATATAACTAACACAAGCCACATTTCCAAGTATAACTTAACAGATAATCTTTTGAGCAATAAAACTGAATAATGTAAGCTCCAGTTGTGGAGATGGCACTGCAGCGCAGTGGTTGGTGCTGTTGTCTCACACCACCACTGTTATCTTCACTGTGTGTGGAGTTTGCATGTTCTCCCCGTGTTATTGTAGGGTTTCCTCCAGGTACTCCGGTTTCCCTCCACAGTCCAAAATCATGCTGAGGCTAATTGGAGTTACCAAATTTCCCCCTTGGTGTGAATGTGTGAGTGAATGGTGTGTGAGTGTGCGCTGCGATGGGTTGGCGCCCCATCCTGGGTTGTTCCCTGCCTTGCGCCAGTAGTCTCTGGGATAGGCTCTGCACCCCCTGTGACCATGAATAGGACAAGTGGTTACAGAAGATGGATGGATGGATGGATGGATGGGTGGAAGTTCCAATAGCATTTTCATCTGACCAGTAAGGGAGTGCAGTTGCACTGCGTACACCCCTGGTGAAATCATCTATGTATCCATGCGTCATCCTCGATGTACACTGCAGGGCTGCAGTGACCTTGGACTCTCTCTCAGGAAGCATAAGGCAAGGGACACCAGACATGATTCCAGTGCCTTTTCTAGTCAAATGTGAAAACTAAACTTACCGTCTCTTATTTTTAGTTGAACCATGCATTTCAAAAACAAATTCTTTATTTATGTGTGGTGTATTTCTTGATGTGATTTCCTTAATTCAGAAGGTAAGGTCAGTAGTAATCACTGCTTCTGGTTACAGCAAAAATGTCTTCATCTATGGATTCTGAGTGGCTGACAAATTGTTGAAAGACAATTATATTGATATAATGTGGTTTTTCAGTTACTAGACCTTAAATTGCAGTTATTGGGATGTTATTTATTGGGACAGAACAATGTCTTGAACAATGTTTTCCACCTCTGTAATTCAGGCTTGAGTTCATTAACTTTTTCACGGCAGGATGGTTCTTGCATTTCTGTGGGTGTACACAGGCCATTCTGATTTATTTTCTCACTAAGGGTGTTGATCTTTTCCCCACTGTCTGTATTAGAATGATAATTTGTGAAGACATCTGTCAGTCTGATACATTTGTCCATTCATGAAGAATTAGAATTGTCAAATGTAGAAATTAACTTTTCAATTTTATACGATTATGGGTTGGCGCCCCATCCTGGGTTGTTCCCTGCCTTGCACCTGTAGCCTCTGGGATAGGCTCTGGACCCTCCATGACCCTAAATAAGGTGAGCAAATTCAGCCAATGGATGGAGGGACGCAATTTTATATGCCTGAGCCAATAGTAAGACTTAATGTATAGTCAGGTAGTTATACTCTCAATGCTGAAGCATACCTACAGTAGCTATGGTGTGATTATCACAACAAGTTTTCATTTGATATTGTTTATTTTGGCTCACCGTTGCCCATATACCAAAGAACTCACACAGCTGACATTTTTTACAGCTGGTGTCTTGTGTGTCCAGGTGTCATTAATTTTTTAACAAGACACTTGCATAACACACACATATGCAAGCCTATATATTTATACACACATACCCATACAGTATATCTTGTGTACATATGCACACAGCACATGTGCCAATTACTTACAAGTATGTGGAGGTGCTCCATAAGAAATAATACAACCAGGACACTACAAGTAATCTCATATAATATAATGATAATGCATTAAGACAAACAAACAAGTGAATCAATGAGAGGGGGCAGGGACAAATGGCAAAGGGCCAAAAATAGATGAGACGTAGTGAGGAGGGGGTAGGTGGAGACTAATACAATATTAAAACAAACAAGTAAACAAGTGAGGAAAATTGGGGGAGAAGCTTCGACTACAACTGTACATGAAGCGTGCTTGTAAGACTGACATTGTAACCAAATTTCCAAAACAGTTGGTCGTGATCTCCTGAAAAACACTGAGTGAAGAAGCTCAGCACTATCGCCTACAGGTAGTACATTTTGGTTAAAAAATTCATACAAAAAAAACCAAAAAAACAATAGGCAGTTATTGTTTGTGGTTATTGAGACATTTTCATGTTAATTAATTCACTCGGGCAAATGATCACACTTGAATTTTTTTTAAAAAAACCACCATGATCTTGATCTGCAATAGTCTGGGCTGCGGCATTATGTGCCCTGATGTGCTGACATTTACACTTCTCAGAATATTAAAAATGACAATACAATATGAAAAACACCATAACAAGGTAAGGCAACTGTGTGACTGGCGTAAAAATCAGACAGATCAGACAAATTAGTAAATTACAAAAAAAACACACATTTAAAACCAGTCAAAATTCCAAAAGATCTGCATATTTACATGAACTAGAAGTGCAGTGTAACATTTAATAATGGTACAGTATGTATATCTTAAATAAAACAAGCGTTTACCCATGAAGAGGGAAGTAAATTTGTCCTTGGGAATAAAAGTAAAGAAAAGTGCCCTAAGCATAAGGTTTTTTTCTTCTTGTATCAGTTATGTCCAAAAAGATTAGTTCCCCTTACTAGTGGTTATACTTGATCAGGCAAAAAGGAGTGATATACGGTATATGTTAGCCTTGGCAAAGGATACAAGGTTGAAAATACTTCCACTTTACTTTTGTTCTATTTTAGAAGTTAATATGATGCTCTCTAGTTTGTTAAACCACACTTGTTTTTGGGAACAAAAAGCCAGCTCAATGTAATGGCTGAGTGCCAGACAACTGCATTAGAACCACGGTGGGGGAGGCCTGGTTCATGAGGAATTCCCAGAATGCCACAGTATGTGTGTTTTTGCCACGGGGAAATGCCTGCTTTATTTTGCAGCGAGTCCCCGTCTTTAAAGTCTAGGTATATGTAAGAATACCTGAGCCACAGAATTCTCGATTCCAACAACATTCATTCACTGAAGCCCAGAAAGACAGCCCTCACCACTATCACAAACAGCTAAATATTATGTTCATACGAACATAAAAGGTCCAAAAATTAAGTGTCAAGAATAAAAGAATGTTTTTTGCTGGAAGAGGATGAAAAATGAAGTGCCAGGCAAAATCCAGACTATAAGTATCTGTCATTATTGTGCAGGTTCATAAACCGACATATGAATTGTATGTATCCGATCAATAATGTGTGTTTATGACTGGGCCACTGTTGCATATCAGGTTAAAACACTCCATTCACTATTGGCATGCCTGATGTGTGTAGGTATGATGCTCTGAGAGGGTCATGGAGAGATCAGTGAGATGGTCTGGATGGGAGGGGGGTCACAGAGAGGTTGGTGAGATGGTTTGAGGGGGTCAGATAGAAGTCAGCCAGATGGCTTCAGGCAATTATTGATCAGTAAGAAGCGGGGGGGGGAGCTGCGGGCTGAGGTCCTCGTCACCACGGCTCGCATTGGCGAAGCAAGTTGGTCACATGGCACCATTTAACTATATCTCTTGGTGGAAGCTTGTTTAGAAAGACAGAAAAGTGAAAGAGAGAGAGAGGAAAAACAGGAGAGGAGGAGCTAGTGCAGAGTGCCTATAGGACCAAAGAGAGAGGAATAGAAATAAAGGCTTCATTTTCAGCACCTCTGACAGCTGGTCTACAAAGGTGACCTCAACTGCTCCATCATGTAGGTTCCAGGTCAGAGTCAAACCCTCACAGGGCGTCCTGGCTCATTCCCCTCCCCGAGACTGAGCCCACTCATACCCACAATCAGCATGAAACTCTCCCACATTCACACAAAACAACAAAAAGACCCAGTTGAATAAATAGAAGCTCAGTTCCTGAAGTATTAAACCATTTGATATAAATCTCAAGGTTTGGGACTGAAGGGTCCAGCAGTGAGCATTGCTTTGATCCAGTGAATTCAAACTTGACAGTGATTAAGAAATCCAGTGATGCAGCCTAAAGTGGATCCAGTAACTCATTAATGGCTTAAACCTAACCAGTGAAGTCAGTTTATGTGGCCACGATTCAGTGTCAGACTCAATTGATCCAGTTTATCAGGCGATACGATGCTCCAGTATTGCTACGTAAGAGAGTGTCTCATAAAAGGTTTTCAAATGGCTAGAGAATAAAAGATTCAGTCCGCCCATAATTCAGTGGCATTCCAGTTCAAATGTACCAGTATCATAAAACATTACACAAGTTAAAATGAGAAAAAGACCCCAGCTTCTTTTTGGGGGATTTGGGAGTGAATTTAATTGTCATGTCCAAAGTATCCGTAGCCTTTCGGACTTTGGGACTGATCCAATTTCCAGTTTAATAGTCTGTAAGCACACAAGGCCTTAATCTCTTTATGTTTCAGTATTCTGCAAAGATATTGTGGACTTAACATCCGCAAAATTGCCCTGATCTTTAGTTCAGATTAATTTGACTTTCTACAGTTGTTAATTTAGACGTGTTTGACACAGCATTTCACCACCTGTGACAGCTGGAGAACATCACTTAGAGATGGTGCACAGGGCTTATAACACTGGGTAAGTCTAACTGTCCGTATTTCCAGTTTCTCTGGTTTGTCGTGCCATCACTGCACTGAGAATGTTACAGTGAATTTCATCCAATTTGCTGTTGTACTACATCAAGATCAATTCCACTGTGAAGTCGGGCCTGCCTGTGTAAACACAGGTAACAAAGCTTCAAATGAAGCCACTGGAATTAAGGGGGTTGGAAGTGAGAACATAAGTAACTAACATTACAGGCTCTCCAAATAACGCTGTATGTAGAAACTGATCTCCGTCAATTGATGAAGACTGAGGTCAGTCTGGACCCACAGCTGTACATCTTAAAAGAGTTATTCAATAACTACAGATTGGCCTGTGGTATCCAGATGTTATCATGGGGCATTAAAAAGTGTAACTAGAAACTCAGAGCACAGTTCAAACATGTGCTCCATTGTGGTACATTATATAAGCTCTCTTAAACCAAGGCTAAATCTGTGAAACTATGCACAGTTTTTTTTTCCATAAATATATACTTAAAAAAACTGGTTAAAAAATTTAGCAAATGTTAATGGCTTTTCTGTTCAAGCAAGATGAGTAGGTTCACAAAAGCAGGCTACCCCAAAAAGGAGGTGCTCTTAATGGAGTGCGGAATGTGAACACTAGGACATTGTTTTTCTCCCATAATGCACTCCATTTACATAAACGTTGTTCTCTTATCCACAGCTTCGCTGAAACAGGAAGTGGTAATCAGAGTATTGACCGATGTATTCCTTCTCCTCCTTGGTGGCACAGATTACTTGTTTCTGTGAGTACAGAATGGTCAAAAGTCAGTGGAAGAAAAATATAAGTACTGTATACAGGAAAGTGAAAACAGACTGGGCAGCTCACACACAATACTCATGTATCTGAGTTTACTCACAGACAGCGCCACACGGAAGTGGTAGCTGACGTCCTGGAAGGACAGTCTTGGCACAGACCATAAGTGTTCCTGCCCCTGAGGATTAGATGGTTAAACATTTACATTTTTAGTTGCTTATCAGACATACCATTTTTATCAATTTTCCGTTACTACATATACAGTGCAGGGTCACAGTAAGCCTGGAGTATATCCTAGGGAGAGAGGGGCACAAGGCAAGATCTACTTTAAAGGGGTGCTAGTTCACCACAGGACACAAACTGTGATCAAGCTTGCTGAGTCATTAAGTTTTTCGCACTATGGAGGGAATAAGAGGAGAAGCTGTACAATCTATGCAGACACAGCTGCACTGTCAGAACAAAGGCTACAGCCCTGGTACAGTTTTGTTCCCCAAGGTACAAACAACATTAATGTACCCCCAATGGTACAAAAATGTTCCTGAGAGTCCATTTCTGTACCTTAAAATATACATTTGCCTACAGCTAAGCGTACAACCGGTAGACCATCAAGGGTACAGCCTCAGTGACAAGTAACTGTACCCTCAAAGGTACAAATTGGTACTTTTTTTTTTGAAAGTGTGGGCTTTGGGTTCAAACCCACGACTCTGTAAGGTTCCACCCACATTTTTTCCTGGATATACATATTTTTCAGTACTATCTCAGGTTAAGTATAAGGCTCCATAAGGATCCTACAGTGGAGCCATTCTGGGAACTTTAACTACCGACATTCAGGTCCTCAGTCCCTGTCTTTAACCACTTGTCGACCTGCTAGGCCCAAATCGTAGTCTGCATGGAGCATAGGGACTGGCGCTACTTCAGCAGCCTTCAGTCTGCATTTACCTTTGTGAAAACATTCTGCTGGCTGTGTGGTTGTTCTGCACTGTGCTGCGTCTGCATGTCAGGATAGGGTGAACAGTGGCGCCCCCTGGTGACGCCACACTGGAATACCAGAACGCTGATGTTGGACCTGCAGACAGGACAGCCATAGAAAGCACTTCCTTGATTTACATATTCAGTAAAATGGTTTCACATTAGGTTTTATGTCAATAAAATTTAAATAAACATTATTCCCGAACTGGCTTAGAATTACTACTAACTTATAAGTTATGGAAGGTATACAGTATTGTACATTTTGCCTAATCATGTGTCACACATTACTTATCTGAATAACATTTGCATAAGGTCATTGTTTACTGATGTAATATTTAAAATAAATATTTTATTAGTACCCAGGATTATATCACTAACTGGACATTACTGCATAATGTACTTTAATAATAAAAGAATTCAATAATCCACGTAAAGCACATTGCTGAAAATGTTTCAGATGAAGGACGTGCAGCATTGCTGACTGTGTAAGAGTGTATGAGTGTGCATGTGTTCTGTACCTCATGTGTAGAGTCACATGGGAAAGAGAGGTGTAGTTGTTTCCATGGAGAGAGACAGTGTAGCTATGGACTCCAGTCCTAAAACAACCACAAAATCACATTAATGAATTTAAAACAAAGAACAACCGGAAAACATCACTTAAGGATACCACAGGTTACATCAATCTTTTAATGTTTTAATATGTTAAATTATTTGGCTAAACTTAAATCACAGTCATTTTAATGATTAGAACTTCCACCTGCACTAAAAAGACTATTATAAATCCATTTTCACCTGCACTGTTTTTCCTGGGTTAATGCTGATCTGTAATATCTTATCTACTGTTGACACACACACACACACACACACACACACACACACACACACACACACACACACACACACACACACACACATGCACACATAAACACAAACCTGCAGCTATCAGGCAAAGGACAGAACTCCATGGTGATAGGCTGGCCCGTCTCCAGGATTCGCATTGATGTCAGAGAGGGGGCGGGGTTTCGACCTATAGCAAACAGCAAAATGTTTCCTCCAAAAAGAAGCACTCCGTAATAACTAAGCAGTAGACTGCAGATGTAACACTGTTACATGTGGTGGGACCCGGCCTTTGGTTTGGGTTTATGTTTGAACTTCTATGCTGGTTTGACTCTTACATCCCACTCTGTGCTCATTTGACTTTCTCACCCCTTGTGTGGATGCTACGTTGTTGCCGGGGAGCTGGGAGCCATTTGTCCACGCCGGAGCTCCCCTGGTCTGCAGGCAGGGGTCTCTTGGTCTTGGATTGGAAGGAGGGTGCTGGTGCTGAGGTGTGACTCAGACGGTTCCTGTGACGTGCGTCCTTTTCTATCGGACGAGACTTGGCCTTCTTGTTGGTGCCGCCTGGGGTTGGGGCTAAGCTAACGGGCGCTGAAAAAGATAAGGGTTGCAAATTTGCAACAAAATTCAAATGCACATCATGGTGCAATGATTAGCGATGCAAGGAACGAGGCTTCTAAACACAGAATGGGTGGGATTTATCTGCTCTGCATTAAACCATCCAGTGAATGACAGTGGCCAGTAATCCAATTCAAGCCGACGTGCGTCAAAACCAAATTTCTCCCATCACTGGTTCTAATCCTGATGTCTCCATTTTTTATAAGGACTATAGGAATCCATGAGGACAGAGTGACTTTTTGCTACCTGATGTTGACTGGTTGTTGCTTGGCAACACACTTGTGGTTGACTGGTTGCTCTGGGAAGTTGGAGAAGGGCAGCATGGATCTTTATTGGACATCGAGGGAGAGGGTGGGACTGTAAAACATGAAAATGCATGAGGTCAGATCAAGACTGGGTATGACAAAAAGAAAGATTTCAGGAGCTATATTTAGAATCGGGTTCTTATTTTCTGAAAATTGAATAAAGGTGCTTATCAATGTTTGTATGGCTAGCATATCTGTACATGATGTAAATGATAATTCTTTCACCCCAGCAGAATCCATAATGCAAATTGAGTTTATTTACACTTTTCACACTGAGATCTCTTTCTTTCATACTGTTTCCCAGTTAATCCTTCTTAGTAGAATTCCACCTCACCTTGTGGTGGAGGAGTGGAAGCTGCTGGGGAGAAACTGGCCTTGCGGGATGATCCCAATCCGGAACTCGACCTGCTAGTGACAAGACATGCAGAGTGAGGCAAAGAAAGACAGCTGCTGACAACAAAATCAACGCACGTCAATAACAGTGTTTGGAATCAGAGTTCTGCGTGTGGAATTAGGATTATGTAGATAATATTGAAAGACCAACAAGTTAGACTCAGGAGAAATCGGAAATGTCCTCCTTACTTGTAGAGAAGCACAAGGAAAAGTGAAAGCGACATACCAGGGACAGACAGATGGACAGAGCGTGAGAGTTGCAGTGAGGACAGGTGTCC